GCGTAGAGCAGACGCCCGCCGCGCGCCCCGTGGCGCACAGCGGGCAAAGAACCGCCGCGCGCCCCGGGGCGCACGGCGGGCAGAAAACCGCCGCGCGCCTCGGGGCGCACGGCGGGAAGAAAAAACCGCCGCGCGCCTCGGGGCGCACGGCGGGAAGGAAAGGTAGCAGCGGAAGCGAGGTGGAAACCCACCCACAGGATCGATCCAAGGGGATCGACCTGCTCTGATAGCATGTCAAAGTTTAAAGGAAGAAAGAGGATTGAACTAGCAAGAATGAGGATACAAATAGCAAACCCTAGAAGGGTTGTACTCGCTATAGAGCACCCCACTACAGGCTAGAACAATAAGATAATATTCTGACAAGAAGCACAAAGAAGGAGAGAGAGAGAGAGAGAGAGAGAGAGAGAGAGAGAGAGAGAGAGAGAGAGAGAGAGAGAGAGAGAGAGAGAGAGAGAGAGAGAGAGAGAGAAAGAGAGAGAGAGAGAGAGAGAGAGAGAGAGAGAGAGAGAGAGTGAGAGAGAGAGAGAGCAAGGGAGAGGGAGGGAGAGCGAGATATGGAGAGAGAGAGAGCGAGAGAGAGAGAGAGAGAGAGACAGAGAGAGAGAGAAAGAGAGAGAACGAGGGAGGGCGAGAGAGATAGAGAGAGAGCGAGAGAGTGAGAGAGAGAGAGAGAGAGAAAGGGAGACGGAGAGAGAGAGAGAGAGAGCGAAAGAGGGAGAGAGAGAGAGAGAGAGAGAGAGAGAGAGAGAGAGAGAGAGAGAGAGAGAGAGAGAGAGAGAGAGAGAGAGGAACTATCACGACGACATCGTGATGAACAAGGTCGTGGGACCAAGTGACGCAAATGCGCCGATCTCGTTGTAAGGCAATGTTAAAAAAAAAAAAAAAAAAAAACCTTGCAAGGGTATTAAAGCTGATGAATGCGCAAGCAAAGAAAAAAGAAGAAGAAAAAAAAAACCCCGGGAGTGCGGGGAGGCACGACGGCGGTAGAAGACAAGCGACATAGTTTGCCCGACGAAGTGTCCCGTATTATCTCGTGTCTAATCGACCTTGGCCCTGGTCCCCCCCCACCCACACAACCTCGGTTGCCCATTAATTGCAGAAGTGGAAGGCGAGTGGCGGAGTGCTCATTGGGACCCATACGAGCACGCAATAACGGACAACATGGTGTCCATCATGCGAATGCGATTGCGCAACAGCCTCCATTGGTGGCTATCATGGTGCGACAGCAGTCTTATCCTCTCCATCATTGCCAAAGGGTACTGGCTACCATGGAAGGGCGCAGAGCCTCTCCCCTTCGAAGCGCCCAATCACGCAGGTGTTCAAGCACACATGTCATTCACCCAAGACACGGTTAGCGACCTCATCGCGTCAGGCGCCGCGATGCATGTCTCGTCGAAAGCCGCACTGACGTGCATCAGCCCGCTCAATGTTGTGGAGCAACGAGACAAATGCCGGCTCATCCTTGACCTGCGGAAGGTCAACGCTCACCTCCAAGTTCCCAAGTTCAAGTACGAAGGCTTGAGTCGGGTCGCGGAAATCATTCGCCCACACGACTGGATGTTCACAATCGATCTCAAGTCAGGCTACCACCACGTCGAAATCCACCCATCATGCTGGAAGTTTTTGGGCTTTCAATTGGGCGGAAAATTCTATTGCTTCACATCCTTACCTTTCGGCCTGGCAACAGCCCCGTTCATCTTCACCCAGCTTATTAAGCAACTAGTCAAGAGATGGCGCGCGCGCGGAGTGCGCGTAATACCATACGTGGACGATCTACTATTCCTCTGCAACTCCGAGGTGCAAGCCCGTTCGACGTGCGTCGAAGTTCTCCACGACTTGAAGGCGGCAGGATTCGTGATAAATTCTAAGAAATCACACCTGCATCCCGCACACCACTTGCGCTTTTTAGGGATGGAGCTTGACACAGAACGAGGGATGTTCCTGGTCGGAAAGGATCGGCGCGAACAACTACTGCAGGAGCTCCACCTACTTATACAAAACGGGCAATCGGGTCGTCAAGTGCCGATTCGCAAGATAGCCCGGATCACTGGATTTCTCAGCTCCATGTCGCTCGCGCTGGGCACGACGGCGCGGGCCTTCAGCCATGAGCTGCTCCACTTGATCGACTCCGCATGGTCATGGAACTCAAAGGTTTTATTGTCACCAGGAGCGACCGAGGAGCTGCCGTTTTGGACAATGCACTTTGATCGTTTCAATGGCGCCCCATTCCACCATAGTCAGCGTTTTGATGCAGTGATACACGTCGACGCGAGCGCGCACAGCTGGGGTGCCACCTTGGCCAAGTTCCCAAGTACATCATGCGAGGCAAGCGAGTGCATGCCACAAGGGCTTCTCCCCACATCTAGTACGCGGCGAGAGCTCGAGGGAGTGCTCTGGGCACTGCGGACGTTCGCAACCCAAATCGTGGGTGCTCACGTCCTCGTCCGGGTGGACAACCAGGCAGTCATGTTTATCTTGCGCAAGGGGGGATCCCGTCAGGCGGATCTTACGTCGACATGCCAAGCGATCGTCCAGTTCTGCCTCGGCAACACAACACGCCTCGCGATCGAATGGATTCCGAGGGAGCTCAACGCCCATGCGGATGACCTATCCAAGATGCAAGATTTTGACGACTACTCCCTACATGCACCTTGGTTTCGCCTCTTGGAACGACGCTGGGGGCCTCACACAATTGATCTCTTTGCTAACGTTCGGAACAATCACGTTCAGCGCTTATGCTCCAAGATACCGCACCCCGACGCATTCGCCGTCGACGCATTTTCCATCTCGTGGAAAGGCGAGCGATGCTTTGCCTTCCCGCCTCCACACTTAATTCCCGCTACACTCCGCCACGCGGAACTGACGCAGACAGAACTCACGCTCGTCGTTCCCCAGTGGACCGGAGCGTCATGGTGGCCGCTTCTTCAACCGTCCACTCAATCGTGGGCTCCAGCAGTAGTCGAGCACCTTTCCCTTGCCCAAGGCAGTCAATGCCTTTGGGCAGGTTCACACACAGCTGCATTCTCTGGTCTCGGATTGCCTCATAGCCCAATCATTGCTTTGCGTATAAACTATACAGTCTAATAACAATATTTCAATGTGTCATTTCAGGACTTTTGGCCAAACTAAAGCAACAATTGCTGCACGTAATTAGCCACGTTCGCGCACCATCTACAATCGAGACGTACCAACCTTATTGGCAGAGATTTCGCACCTTCTGTACCCAAGTTAAGCTCGAGTTCCTCCCGGCAACCGACCTGACGCTAGCGCTGTATCTCATCCATGCGCTCAACAACAAAGCAACTCTCTCCGCGATCAACCTCACGTGTTCGGCAGTAGCCTTTGCCCACCGCATGACAGGCGAAACCTCCCCTACCGCCGGCCCACTCACCCTGCAAGTGCGGGAGTTCGCCAAGAGACATGGTCCCCGCCCTACAAGAACCAAAGAGCCCATATCTCTCCATCAAGTGCACGACATGGCTCGTCCCTTCCTCGAATCATCAATTCCTGCGGAATACCAGAAAGGATTGATTCCTCTTCTCATGTTTTCGGCATTCTTGCGCTACTCCAACCTCGTCTCGCTCCAATGGAATGACGTACAGTTCGAGGAGAAGGCAATGTGGCTGCTCATTCCGCACTCCAAGACAGACCAGGAGGGGAGGGGAGTTTGGATCCCCGTGGCGGCAATTCCAGGCCCATACTGCCCGGTGAGGTGCACGCGCGCATTCATACACATCGCAGGCCTCACAAAGGTGCCCCATGGACCGCTGATAAGGGTTTTCCCAAAGAACTCACAAGCCACACCGAACGACAAATCGCCATCCTACGTTACGATCAGAAACTGGTGCCTCGCAGCCGGCAGGCAAGCTGGACTGGATGTCGCGCACATCGGAACCCACTCATTCCGCAAAGGCGCAGCCACTGCAGCGGCGAGCCTCGGAGTTCCTGACCGGCTCTTCAAACGCATGGGCCGATGGGGCAGCGACAGCGCGAAGGAGATGTACGTTACAATCGCGCAGGATCATCTCATCTCCCTCTCTACGCAATTGCAGGATCCTTCGACGGCTCCCTCGCCCGCTACGCATCAGCTATCCATCGAACGCCATCGGCAGCCCCGACTGCACTTGCCTCAGAAGACCCATATGAAATGATAACGCTGCCTTTGCCAGTCAGCCTAAGTACACTTTCACAATATGATAATTTTTGAAAGTGTAATGAAATGTAACACTTTCTAAAATTTTGTATTGTGAAAAGGGGTACGTGGCCAACACAGCAAAGGTAGCGCCGAAGCGCTACTCACCCTCTTTTGCCTGCAAAAGAGGGACGTGGGGACATTCGTCCCCACCCACGTTTTCATTTTCAAAATTGTAGTTCTAATTTCCCACCCGCCCACCCATTTGTGTATGCTGTTATGTAGACATATATAAGACGAGAACGATGTACTACAACCCATATGAAATGATAACGCTGCCTTTGCCAGTCAGCCTAAGTACACTTTCACCATCAATGGTTTTGCGAGAATCTTCAAACAGCCCAGCCCACAAAGCAGCTATGGTAGTCCAGCACCACATCTCAGAGAGATAAGACATAAGGCCTTGTCATAGCACACCCAAGCTGTGCAATGATGGCTGAAGAGCCACAGTGTACAGTAAAAGCTGCCGTTGCCTGCTTGTATTTTGCCAGCAATTCTCTGTGTATTCTTTGTGCGATTGCCATAGTGCCGGGTTTGCTCCGTATTTTATGCCCCTTCACGTCAAGGCGGATAACAAACGGATAGTAACCCTGCATGAACCACAGCAGGGCTAAAAGGACACATCCTATGTTACTACTAGGTAACTCTTCAGTTACGGTATCGATTTCCCCCTGGTGAAACTCTGATCCTGTAGATACTTAAAATCTGGAAGCAAGGTGGAAACACGGATTCTAGCTGGTTGGAAGGATGAAGCCACCCCACTTGAACAAACCAGCACAAGGCACCAGAGCAGCCACAAAGCAGACGATCAATCGCTCTCCTCCTCCTCATCATCCTCCCTCTGCCTCCTCAGCCTACCCTCCCTGCCACCTAGTCGCACTGACCGCTCACCATCAGCACCTGCATCAGCAGCATTCCCCAAGCCAGAACCACCTCCACTGGTCTCCTTGGGAGACCTCATTCCCACAGGAGACGGGGAAGCTACTGTCCCCACTCCTGCATCTCCTCCTGCATTTCCTGCAGTTGCTGCTGCCGCTACGGACCCCTCGCCGCCCCTGCCACCACCACCCCCTCCCTGCTCCCCATCCAATCCTGCAGTGCCACATGCCCGCCTCACAGTGGTCAGACCACCACCACCACCCCCACCACCCCCACTGTCAGCAGCAGCCTCAGCTGGTGCCATGTGGGGGCTGGCATTGCGGGTGGTGAGCTTGTCGCGGGCAGAGCGACGGGGAGGGGGCGAGAGAGAGAGGCTGGGGGAGCGGGCACGTGTGGCGGTGGTGGTGCGTGCACGGGGAGGCGTGTAGCTGCGGCTGCGGCTTCGGCTGCGGGTGCGGCTGCGGCTACGGCTGTATGAGGTGCTACGGCTGGAAGGAGACTGGTACCTGATAAGGGGAACGTTAGGGTGGGAGGGACGTTAGGGTGGGAGGGACGTTAGGGTGGGAGGGACGTTAGGGTGGGAGGGACGTTAGGGTGGGAGGGAGGTTAGGGTGGGAGGGACGATAGGGTGGGAGGGACGCTAGGGAGGGAGGGACGTTAGGGTGGGAGGGACGTTAGGGTGGGAGGTGGGAGGGACGTTAGGGTGGGAGGGACGTTAGGGTGGGGGGAATATTACAGTCGGAAGAACATGAGGGTGGGAGGGACGTTATGGGATGATGCGAGCGAGCAGGCAGCGAAACAGCACACAACCGACAGATAGTTATGCACCTAGACAAGGTGAACCCAGTGACCAAAATCACATGCATGCAGCTATCAAACAACGCTCGCTCAGTGAGCCATATGTGGATCCAAGCAAGGAGCAATCAGGGGGGTACAGTGCACTTCCTGCGCTTCCTGCACCCCCTGCACCTCCTGCACCTCCTGCACTTCTTATTCACCGAGTGAAAACCGGGGCCTAAGCCTCTCACCTGCCCCGTCCTCGCCCCCTTCTTCTCGGCGGGCTTCTCGACCAATCAGGGCTTCTCCTGCGGGGCGGAGGGCTGTCGCTACGGTCCCGGTACCGTCCCCCTCCACTTCCCCATCCCCTGCCACTCCCTCCCCTGCCATCGTCATACTCCCTTGCCATGGTGGGGAGAGAAGGGAAGGAAGGGATAGTAGTAGGGAGGCTTGGATCACATTCAGCACACATTCAGCACACATTCAACACACATTCAACACACATTCAGCACACATTCAGCACACATTCAGCACACATTCAGCACACATTCAACACACATTCAGCACACATTCAACACACATTCAGCACACATTCAGCACACATTCAGCACACATTCAGCACACATTCAGCACACATTCAACACACATTCAGCACACATTCAGCACACATTCAGCACACATTCAGCACACATTCAGCACACATTCAGCACACATTCAGCACACATTCAGCACACATTCAGCACACATTCAGCACACATTCAGCACACATTCAGCACACATTCAGCACACATTCAGCACACATTCAGCACACATTCAACACACATTCAGCAAACATTCAGCAAACATTCAGCAAACATTCAGCACACATTCAGCACACATTCAGCAAACATTCAGCACACATTCAGCACACATTCAGCACACATTCAGCACGCATTCAGCACGCATTCAGCACGCATTCAGCACACATTCAGCACACATTCAACACACATTCAGCACACATTCAGCACACATTCAGCACACATTCAGCACGCATTCAGCACACATTCAGCACGCATTCAGCACACATTCAACACACATTCAGCACACATTCAGCACACATTCAGCACACATTCAGCAAACATTCAGCACACATTCAGCAAACATTCAGCACACATTCAGCACACATTCAGCACACATTCAGCAAACATTCAGCACACATTCAGCACACATTCAGCACACATTCAGCACACATTCAGCACACATTCAGCACACATTCAACACACATTCAGCACACATTCAGCACACATTCAACACACATTCAGCACACATTCAGCACACATTCAGCACACATTCAGCACACATTCAGCACACATTCAGCACACATTCAACACACATTCAGCACACATTCAGGGTTCATTCAGCAATGAGTAGAGCTCATTTCGCATGTCAAGGAGCTCCACTATACATCTTCGCACAGCGCATGTTAAGAAACGACCACGTCGCACCATGCACACATGCAGCATGGCACATGCTACTTGTCAAGAAAAAAAGACCACCTGTCAACACGGTCCCTTCTCACCTGCGGCCATAAAGCCTCCCTCTGCTGTAGCCATCCCCCCTTCCGCCCTCCCCATACCCGCCCCCATAGCCCCTGCCTCTGAACCTTGCAGGGGGGAGCGGCTCAGGGGAGGGGGACGGAGTTCGGTACTTGCGAGCAAACGCAAACTGCTGCGAAAACCCCCTGCCCTTGCGCACCCGCAACGGACCTCCACCACCCCCAGCATCACCACCATAAGCAGGAGCAGCAGCAGCAGCAGCATCACCACTTGCGGCTGAGGCAGGGGTAAGTGTCTCAACTGGCGGGATTACTCCTGCTGGGAGAGCAGCGGCAGTGTCAGCAGCGGCAGCAGCAGCAGCTGCAGCGACAACAGCAGCCGCTGCAGCAGCAGGGGCTGCACCCAGCCTCCCACCCAGCCTGTCATGCACACTCCCAGCAGCGTGCTTGCGTGGAGGAGGGGTCGGGGAACGGGAAGGCGAGCGGGAGTGAGGAGGGGAGCGGTACTTCCGGGGAGAACAGGAGCGGAGGGGAGAGCGGGAACGGGCGGGGGAGCGGTATCGCTGGGGAGCGGGGGAACGATGAGGAGAGCGGGAACGTGACCTGCTTCTTGCGCCGCTGCTTCCCTTCAGCAGCCTCCCTCTGCCTGCACCATCTCCCCTGCTCGCCTTCCCTCCCTGTCCTCCATCTCCTCCTCCACCCACGCCCCTGTCTGTCTCCATTGCCATCCTATCCACATCCCCACCCCAATCCTCTTCCTCCACCTGGTCCCCCCCCTTCTTCTCCTTCTCCTTCTCCTCCTCCTCCTCGTTATACTCAGCTTTCCCTCTACCAGATCCCCGCCTCCCCTTGCCTCCTCCCTCCACCCTCACCTTTTCACGCCTCTCTTCCACCACACCTCCTTCCTGCTCCGCTCCACCCTCCTCCACAACCCCTTTCTCCACAACATCTTCCTTCCCACCATCCCCTTTCATCCTCTCACTCCCCTTCCTCCTTGCCTTCTTCTCACCAGCAGCGTCCTTATCCTCTCTCCCAGCTCTCCCTCTTGGCCTATCGCTATCGTAATCGCTACCCGCCTCCTCTCGCCTCGCCTCTGCCCTTCCCTCATCCCCCCGATCACCGACTCCATCTTCCCTTGCGTCCGAATCAACCTTTCCTGAGAGCTTTCTGGCCTTCCTTTTCCCACCTTCCTCCTCACGCTCTGTCTCACGCTCTGCCTCCATCTCTTGTGCCTGGGGTTTGCGCCCGCCACTGCTCTGCTTCCTCTCTGCTCGATTCTTCTGACTGCTCTTTCCCTTGTCACCCTTCTCCTTCCCGTCTCGCTTTCCCGACTCCTGCTCAACCTTTTTGACCCCGTGGCCCTTCCCTGCACACCAGCAGCCAGTCCAGTGGAACCAAATACCAGCACAGCACAGAAACGCACCACACAGCACCGCACAGCAAATCATCACACAGTACACCACAGTCCGCAACACAATGTATGGCAAGAAAGCAATCAGAAGCGCACAATTAAAGCCAGGGAGCTAGAGATGAGGAAGCAACTACTAGCAGCAGAGCAGGTAGTTCACAGTGCAAACACTGCAAACACTGCAAACAGTGCAAACCGTGCAACTGGCAACCTCTTCATTCCCATGCTTACCCCCACTCTTCCCCTCCCATCCCCATCCCCATCCCCATCCCCATCCCCATCCCCCTCCCCCCCTTTCTTCCCCTCCCTCTCCCCCCCTTGCTTCCCCTACCCCTCCCCCCCTTTCTTCCCCTCCCTCTCCCCCCCTTTCTTCCCCTCCCCCTCCCCCCCTTTCTTCCCCTCCCCCTCCCCCCCTTTCTTCCCCTCCCCCTCCCCCCCTTTCTTCCCCTTCCCCTCTCCCTCCCTTCCCCTCCCCCTCCCCTCCCCATCCGCACACCCTAAATCCTGCACAATCCGGTGCTTCATGACGTCTCAAACAACCATAATCTCTTATCCGACCCTACCCCCACTTCTTTTGCTGCCTTTTGACTCACCCTTGCCCTTGCGAGACGGCCTCTCTTCCTCCTCGTCCTCACTGCTGCTGCTGCTGCTGCTGCTCTCGCTAGATGATCTGGATGCACCACTGTCTGACTCCTCCTCGTCCGAGTACTTACTGCAACACAGCAACACACAGCGCCACACAGCACCACACAGCACCATACGGCAACACACAGAACCACACAGCACCACACAGCAACACACAGCACCACACAGCAACACACAGCACCACACAGCACCACACAGCAACACACAGCACCACACAGCACCACACAACACCACACAGCACCACACAGCACCACACAGCAACACACAGCACCACACAGCAACACACAGCATCACACAGCATCACACAGCACCACACAGCACCACACAGCACCACACAGCACCACACAGCAACACACAGCACAACACAGCACAACACAGCACCACACAGCAACACACAACACCACACAGAGAGGCACAACTCCGCGGTATCAGCACCTGAGAGAGCACTCTGAGCATTGCCTCTAAAGCGCCACAGACACACACACACCACCACCCCACAAGCCCAGCTTACTTTCCCTCAGACAGATCTAACCACAGCACTTGAGAGCGCACCTCAGACTAGCCAAGAAGCCGGCTTGCTGCTACTCAGACGCACATATGCAAACCAAGAACCAGACAGCGTGCACAGTGCGTGTGACTCTAACTGCCAGTAGAGCGACCGACGAACGACCACGTTGTGGGCCTAGTTCGGCTACCCTGCTTGCAGCACACCAAGAGCAGTCGGCGCGCGCGCGTGCGTGCGTGCGACTCTCTGATTGCCAGTGCGACCCTCCTGGCAACAGCCAGGCTTCATCAAACGCCAAGAGAAAGAGCACCCATTCCTGACCACGACCCACCTGACACAAAACCTGACAGACAGCCTACCTGGCAATGCCATACTATACAAATACAGAGTGTGCGTCAAAGCATTCACCACCGCATTCCTTCACCTTCCCATCCCACCTAACCTACCACTTCTATTACAGCGCCTCAAGAGGTATTCACCTTCCATTCCCACCTCTCATACCTCTTCTTCTTCCCCTTGCTCGTGCTCCCTCCCTTGCCCTTTCCTCCTCGCCCTTCCTTCTCCCCTTTGCCTCTGCCCTTCTCCTGGACCTGCTTCGTTCCCTTCTTCCCCTCCTCCTCCTTTCCCCGACCTTGCCCCTTCCCCTTTCTCTGCTCATCCTCACTCTCATCCTCCTCTTGCCGTTTACCCTTCGACCCCTGCACCTTCAGTTCCTCCTCTTTGCCATCTCCCATCTCCTCGTCCTTCCTCGCCTTCTTCCCCTTCTCCTTTTCCTTCTCCCTCCCCTTCCCCTCCCCCTTCTCCTTATCCTTCCCCTTCCCCTTCCCTTCCTCGTCCTCATTCACCTCCCAGTAACCGTCATCCTTCCTCCCACTCCCATGCTTCCCTTTGCCCTTAATTTTCTCCCCTCCGTCGTTCCCCTTGCCCTTCACAGATCCCTTCCCCTTCCTTTCATCTTCCTTCTTACCAGACCCCTTTCCACGAGCCTTCCCCTTCCCAACCCTCTTCCCCTTTCCCTTTTTCCTCTTCCTCTCACTCCCATCAGAGCTGCTGCTGTCAGACTCCGAGCCTGACTCTGAGCTTCGGCTATCCGATGAGCCTTCCGAGCCTGACGAGCTGCTTCGGGAGTCCGAACTAGCATCAGAATCAGAAGAAGACGACTCGTCAGAGTCACTTTCACTGCTCTCGTCACTGCTCCACTCATCCTTTCTCCTCCTCTTACTCCCACGCTTCCCACCGTCCTTCCCACGCTTCTTCTTCATCCCCTGCTTTCCCTTCTTTGCCTTCTTGCCCTTTCCCTTACTGCCACCTCCCTTCCCACCGCCCTTCTTCTTCTTTCCCTTGCTACGCCCCTTCTCCTCCTCTTCCTCCTCCTCGTCCTCCTCGTCCTCTTCCTCCTCCTCACTCTCTTCCTCAGAACTCTCTCCCCGTCGCCGCTTCTTCCCTTTCTCCTCCTTCCTCTTCTCCTTCTCTTTCTCCTTCCCTTTCCCGCTCTTCCCGCCCTTCCCTCCCTTCCCACCCTCTTCCTCCTCCTCGTCCTCCTCCTCGCCCTTCTCCTTCTCCTCTCCTCGCGCCTTCTTCCCGCTCTTCCCGCCGCTAGCAGCAACAGCAGCAGCAGGCAGCTGGCCGCACTTGGTGATCTTGATGGGGAACACGGGGCGGTCCCTGTCCCCCGTGGGCTGGCTCTCCATGGCGCGCACCACCTCCATTCCCTCCACCACTCGCCCAAACACCACGTGCTTGCTACAGAGGCAAAGGGCGGGAAGGTGGAGAGGAGAGCGGGAAGAGGGAAAGTGGGAGAGATGGAGGGGCCAAGGGGGGGATTGGGGGAGAGGAGGGGGTATTGGGGAAGGAAAAGGAAAGGGGAGGGAAGTGGAGCGAGGGGGATGAGCGGTGAGGAAGTGGAGGAGCAAGGCACTCCTCAACCGTGTGGGCTGGCTTTCCACCACGTCCATTCCCTCCACCACTTTTGAGGCGCCTCAAAAGCCGTGTGGGCGGGATTTCCACCACCTCCATTCCCTCCACCACTCGCCCGAACACCACGTGCTCGCTGCGCACGCGAGGGAGGGGGGAAAGATGGTGGGGTGGGGGTGGGACGGGGGAGGGAGGGGCTTGGAAAACGGGGGACGCTAGCGGTGGGTGAGGGGGGGAAGGGGCGGAGGAGGGAAACGTTGGAGAAAGAGGGAAGAGGAGCGACGGGGGAAGAGGGGCAAGAACGCAAATCAAGAACAGCGGGATGGTGCTGGTGGGCTGGGAAACGGTCAGGCTAAACAGATTCAGTTTCAGACGTGCCACAGCTCTCCTCCCCGCTCCCCAACTCCTCCCCGTCCGTCTCTCACTACTCTCAATTTCCCAGCCTCTCCCCCTCACTCTCTCACTTTCCTTCTCTCTCCCCCCCTCGCTCCCCCTTCCCCCGGTCTACAACGCACCCGTCGAGGTGCGGAGTGGCTTTGAAGGTGAGGAAGAACTGGCTGCCGTTCGTGTTGGGACCCGCGTTAGCCATGGATAGCGTCCCCGCTGCCGCGTGCGGCAGCTTGAAGCTCTCGTCTGCCGTTCGCGTGAGGTGGGTGGGTGGGAGAACGGGGACACAGCACGCACGGGCAGGATGGGGGAGTGGGGGACGGGGGTTTGGGTGGAATGGAATGCGCTTGGAGAGGGGAGCAGGAGGAGTGGAGGAAAGGTTGAGGAGGGTAGGAGAGCGGATGGGAGAGAATTGGGGGGGGAACGGGGTGGGGTGGGGGGGCTGAGGCAGAGAACGAGTGAGACTGAAGGAATGGAATGCACGCAGTAGACGCATGAGAACGTGACATGGATAGAGCTCGTTCGCTGAGACAACGGCACAGGGCAAGGCACGGTGCGCGGGTATATGGTGCGCGGGTATATGGTGCGCGGGATTACAGCAAGAAGCTGGGCATATTCAAAGGGGCGTAACAAAGCCAGGGATGCAATGAGGGAGGCATGTGGTCGGTCGGTCTGACCTGCGAACTTGCCGCCATAAATGCTCTCTCCTCCCGTGCCTGGACCACCGCCGGTTGTTTTCACAGTGGCGAGTGTGCGTGCGCGCATGTGTAAGAGAGTGGAGGGGTTTTGGGGAGGGGACCGGGGAAAAGCAATGGCGGAAGGAACGATAGAGAAAACATTGAAGGGTCACAGTCACAGGAAAGGAAACAATGGCGGCCCCAAAACTCAATGAGCACGTGATCAGTGAACAGTGGAGTGGTGCGGCGATCCGAACAGGGAACAGTGAAGTGCTCGGGCAGCGGCGAATTAACGCCAAGGCGGAGAGGGGGATAAGAATCATGAGCAGGGGTGGAAAGGAGAACGGGAAGGACGTACCGTCCTTGTTGCTGAAATCGCCACCCTGAGAAGCCCCGACGGCGTAGGCACAGAGAGGCCCGGGGGGGAATGCGAGAGGGGAAATGGAGGAGGGGGGAGAGGAGGGATTAGCTGTCGAAAAGTCCGGGCGAAGCAAGGGAGGTGGCACGCGCGAGAACCGAGAACAGGACACAGAACGGGATGATACGGTAGACAGGTTGGGAGAAGGGGGCGGGAATGAGAATGTATACGGAGGGAGGGAGGGAGAGCGAATGCACGAGCGACATTTTGTTTAGGCGCCTCAAAAGGATGAGGCGCAAGATTAAGATATGAAACGCCTAGAAAGGAGGGGGGAAAAGAGAGAAAATGCACCTGCGCCATGAAGCCCGGTATGACGCGGTGGAAGACGGTGCCCTTGAAATGGAGCGGTTTGCGCGTGAACTTGCCCTCTCCCATCTCCCCTGCCACGCGCGTTCATGCGAATAATAGTGATAATCATTTAAATGCAATAACGGACGTCATAATAACGATTCGCCATGGCGGAGTTTGATAAATACGAAAAAAAAAAAGGAAAGGAGGGGAAGAAGTAGTGGGGAGGGAGGGTGGGGAGGGAAAAAAGTGCGCAGTTTCACGAACGTGACAGCTGGTATCCGTGCAATGCGGCAATCGAACTGCTTTAGCGAGCATCAAACCAGCTCTTCGAAAAGTAGAAACGGGCGTACCCGTGCAAAGCGCTCTGAAGTTCTCCGCTGTACGCGGAACCACATCCGCGAATAGCTGCGAGGTAGCGGAGGGTTAATGGAGCCCAATGTCGGTCAAGCGCTCAGAGAGAGTTACCGCGATGGCCGCGAATGGGAAAATGCATGGGAAAGGATCACTGATCGAGAGCCAGGAAAAAAATGAGGTGACTTTCAAATCGACCCAGAAATCTGGACCCGATAAAAGGATGACAGCAAGGAGATTTGCAACAAGCGGCGAGCAATACGAGGAGCGAAATTTGAAAACGTTCACCGCACCTCCATCACAACACGTTGAGCCTTGTTCCCGCTCATTGATATGTCGAAAAACACCCGCGGGTTCTCTGATTTCCCCATGGCGGGCGTAACGTTCGAACGAGCAGCAAGACCGAGATTGAGGGATCTCCTTCCGTCAATAGAACTCAACGGAGAGCTCAAGACAGGCTATGGCTTCCCTCGTAGCGCCGGGAAAGCCGAAAACTGCTACAAAACCACACGTTTGCCCTGATCCAAATGGGGAAACCTGGGGTTTTGCTTTACGTGGTCAGTCAGTCAGGTTGTGCCGACTGAAATACGCTCTCGTGGAATGAATCCAGAATACTTGAAGTACACTCTTCGTAATCACGCGCCAAGGCTACAATTCAACCATTTGCTAATAATTTGTGGTGGAGAACTATTACGGGTGCAAGGATCGAGGTGGCGAGGATTGCACTTAGGTGTCAAACGAGTACAAAGATGTGAGCGAAGGCATGAGCGAACATTTATACGCGAAACATGCAAACGGTAATGCGGTGCGTGCGAACTAGCTAGTGCTACGCTGGCAGCGAGGCTCGGGCTAGTCCCGAAGCGTAGGCCGACACGGCCGGGCCAGCAGCGCGAAGTTGGCGAAGTCCCGTTAGTAGTAACGGGCGAACAACGGCTGTTGCTGTACGCCATGTAGTCCGGCTCCGTAAGGAATGCCGAGAAAATTCCTTACACTACCCCCCCCCCCCCCCCTCAAGAAGCCCTCTCCGCTACGCGAGTGCGTATATATCGCGGAATCCCCGGCTCCTCAGGTACACTTGCAGGGCAGGGTGGTTTTCGATGTTGGCCAGGGGCACCCACCTATCTTCAGTTGGCGTGCGGTCCTTCCAGCGAACGAGGAATTCAATCCTCCTTATTCCCGTGGGGTGGCGGATTCAATGGCTCCGGATTTTTTCGAGCTCGATGATCGGCTCTGATGCAGGGCGAGTCATGGAATGCGGGCGGTGGCGAGGCAATTGGCTGGTGGTTGGGATGTATGGGCGAAGTAGGCTGACGTGGAACGATGGGCTGATGTACCAGTCGGTCGGTAACAGTAGGTGCGCGGTTACTGGCGTAATCATGTGGCTGATTTGGAATGGGCCACAGTAGCGCGGTCGAAGTTTCGGTACGTCGGGCAGTCGCTGATTTTGCGTGTCGAGCAGTACGTAATCCCCTGACTCGTATGTGACTGGGCGGCGGTGGGGTTCAGCATTGCGCTTAGTGATGATGTTTAATTGCTTCTGCGGCTCTGGTGCGGGCAGCTTGCAGAATTTCGGCGAATTCCTGTGCATGTGGTGTTGGGTTGTCCGGACTCGACGTCATGGGCACTGTAAGGTTTTGCCCTTAGTTCAGATAGAAGGGGGACTGCTGCGTCGTCGCTGACGTGGCGTTGTTGTACGCGAACTCGATCAGCGGCAGCTGCTGCTCCCAATTCGTGGGGTCGTCGCACGTGGCACGAATCAACTGCTCCATCGTCTGATTCGTCCGCTCCGTTTGACCGTCGGTCTCAGGGTGGTACGACGAGCTGAACTGTAGCCGTGTCCCGAACTGCTCCCAGAGGTTCTTCCAGAAGTTGCTGGTGAACTTCGCGTCCCTGTCGCTGATAATCGCTGCTGGTATCCCGTGCAGGCGAACAACGGTTGCGATGAACAGGCGAGCGGTCTCCTCAATTGAGATCGACTTTTTGTACGCAGCGAAGTGTGCCATCTTCGTCAACCTGTCAACGACGACCATCACCGCGTCGTTACCCACAGGGTTCGAAGGTAACCCTGTAACAAAGTCCATGGTAACTTGCTGCCAGGCGCACTCGGACGGTGGTATCGGCTGCAATTGACCCGCCTTCCGCTTCCTCGAGCTCTTCATCACCTGACACGTGGGACACGAGCCCACGTGCTGCTGCACGTCGGTCAACAGCTCCGCCCAGTAGTAATACCACTGCAGTAGCTCTCGCGTTTTTTCTACCCCAAAATGTCCCAAGGTAATTCGGTCGTGTGCCTCCTGCAGTAGCAGCTCCCTCAGTAGCGAGTACGCGGGTACCCAGATGCGGTTGGTGCCTGTTTTTACATAATAAACTCCTTTAGCTTCTGCCAGTTGCCGTGAATTTCCGGTCGTGAAAAATGGGTCGGTGCGGTATCTGTGGGTGAATAGGCCTGTTAAAAGCGGGTTGGTTTGGGCGAGTAGGATGGCATGGAGTTGGGCGGTAGGGCAGGTGAGTGCGTCGGCGATGTTGGAGGCGCCTTTTTTGTACGTAACCGTGTAGTGGAAGTTGGACTCGAGATAGTCCAACCAGCGAATCTGTCGCGGATTGAGATTTGGTTGGGCGCGCAGGTACTGTAGTGATCGGTGGTCTGTCCGTACTGTCACGTCGGCGCCCGTCAGGTAACACCGCCAAACCTTGAACGCGTGCACGATCGCCAACATTTCGCGGTCGTGTATCGGGTAGTTGCGTTTGGGCGGGTGCAGCTTGCGGGACTCGTACGCGATTGGCTGGAGGCCGTTCCCGAAATCCTGCAACAGTACTGCTCCCACAGCAATGTCACTTGCGTCAGTGACGAGCTCGAACGGACGGTGTGGATCTGCAATGTGAAGCACGGGCGGTGAGCACAAAATATTTTTGAGGGCCGAGAAGGCAGCTTGCTCTTTCTCCCCCCATGTGTACTCAACCCCCTTCCTCAGCAGGTCGGTCAGCAGGGCAGTCAGCTTCGCCATGTCGGGGACGAACCGGCGCACGTAGTTGACGAACCCCAAAAAGCTCTGCAACTCGGTCAAGTTGGTCGGCGCGTGCCAGGCTTGAATCGTCGCGATTTTCTTCGGGTCTATTTCCACTCCTGCAGCTGAAATAACATGTCCCAAAAACTCCAGTCGGTCCTGTAAAAACTCACACTTAGACGCTTTTGTCAGTAGGCGGTTCTCACTCATTATTTTAAAAACTGCATCGATGTCCTGTAGGTGCTATGTTCTGTCAGGGCTGTAAATCAGTATGTCGTCCAGATAGACTATGATGCACTTATCTAAGAGCGGGCGGAAAGCCTCGTTCATGGTCATTTGAAAGGTGGCGGGGGCGTTGGTCAGTCCGAAGGGCATGACGGTATATTCGAAGGATCCGTAGCGTGTGCGAAATGCGGTCTTAGGGCAGTCGGGCGGATTGACGCGAATCCGGTGGTAACCCCCTCGAAGGTCGATTTTCGAGAAAACCCGGGCTGTGCGCAGTTGATCGATCAGTTCGTCGGCTCGCGGGATGGGGTAACGGGATTTGATGGTAACCCTGTTCAGTGCTCTGTAATCTATAGACATGCGAAATCCCCCGTCTTTTTTCGGTGTGAATAGTATCGTGCTGCGAAGGGCGACGAACTAGGGCAAATGAATTCTTTATACCAAGTAATCGAGCTACTTCCTCAGTTCGTCCAGTTCGGGTTGGGCCAGTCCAAATTATCGCTGTACTGGCAGCTATGCCCCCGGGTCTAGTTCTATTCTGTGGTCGTGCAGTCGCTGAGGTGGCAGTCTGTCAGATTATTATAGCTGATGCATGTTTGTAGGCTATAGTGGGGTAGCACATATGGGGTACAGTTTGCTAGGGTTGTATTTGTACCCAACTCTGACTTAGTCAATTCATTCCTGTTCATTCCTTTCACATGGTATAGAGCGGGTTCCCTGTGGGAACTTCGCCTAGGGCCCACCGAAGCGCGCCCCGAGGCGCGCGATCCTTTTTTTTTAGCGACCCCCCCCGAGTCGCCCTTCCCCTACGGCCCCGCCGCCCTTCGTTCGCGGCCCCGCCGTCCAGTCGCGGCCCCGCCCTTACGTCGCGGCCCCGCCCTTACGTCGCGGCCCCGCCACTAAGTTGCGGCCCCGCCACTAAGACGCGGCCCCGCCACCCAGTCGCGGCCCCGCCGCCTACTCGGACGCGGCCCCGCCGCCTGCTAAGACGCGGCCCCGCCGCCTGCTAAGACGCGGCCCCGCCGCCTGCTAAGACGCGGCCCCGCCGCCTGCTCAGCCGCGGCCCCGCCGCCCTCTACGACGCGGCCTCCGCCGCCTGCAGACGCCGCGGCCTCCGCCGCCTGCTCAGCCGCGACCCCGCCGCCCGCTACGACGCGGCCTCCGCCGCCTGCTCAGCCGCGGCCCCGCCGCCCTCTACGACGCGGCCTCTGCCGCCTGCTCAGCCGCGGCCCTGCCGCCTCCTACGACGCGGCCCCGCAGCCTGCTCAGCCGCGGGTGCTTCCAGCGGCCCTCCGCTGCATCCTGACGGCCCGCCGCTGCACCCTGCGGCCCCGCCACTGCGCCTGTCCCGTCTCCGCCACTGCACCCTGACGGCCCCGCCGTCCCCTGTCTCGGCCCCACCGCTGCACCCTGACGGCCCCGCTGTCCCTTGTCCCGGCCCCGCCACTACACTGCAGCCGAGCGGCCCAACAGCAGCCGAGCCGCCCAGCAGCAGCCGAGCCGCCCAGCAGCAGCCGAGCCGCCCAGCAGCAGCCGAGCGGCCCAACAGCAGCCGAGCCGCCCAGCAGCAGCCGAGCCGCCCAGCAGCAGCCGAGCCGCCCAGCAGCAGCCGAGCCGCCCAGCAGCAGCCGAACCGCCCAGCAGCAGCCGAACCGCCCAGCAGCAGCCGAGCCGCCCGGTACCTGAGCCGCCCGAGCCGCCCGAGCCGCCCGAGCCGCCCGAGTCGCCCGAGCCGCCCGAGCCGCCCTAGCCGCCCGAGCAGCCCGAGCCGCCTGCTGCTGACCTACCCGACTCTCCCATCCCGGTGAGACTTTCAGCTGCTGCCATGGCCACCCCCAATGTTCTCACTTTTGACGCTGAGGGGAGGGCCATTGACTTTGCCGTCTGGATCGAGGACCTGCAGCTGTACTTACTGTGTGATGCGGTAGATGAGGTCTCTCTCTTTGACTTTGTCTCTGGCGCTGTCCCTGCCCCGCCTGCTGATGCTGACTCTGCCGTTCGCTCCAAGTGGGCGACCCGCGATGCTGCTGCACGTCTTGCTGTGCGTCGCCACCTCCCTTCCTCTGAGCGTGCCCACTTTAGTCAGTGCAAGACCGCTC